TGTGTGTGTGTGTGTGTGTGTGTGTGTGTGTGTGTGTGTGTGTGTGTGTGTGTGTGTGGGTGGGTGTGTGTGTATGTATATGTCCGAGTAGAACCGCGAAAGCTAGGAGGCTGGAACTTCAGTAGAATGTTCCTTGCCCACGTGCAACCCTCAAATTTAAATTCTGCCTTCATGCACCCCTGGGTGCCACGTGCGACCCCGCGAAAGTTTTGGAGGAGAAAATTATTATCTCGGGAACCACGAAGGCTGAGCTGGAATGTTGGGGCAATGTTCCCTGCCCACGTATGATCCCGCAAATCCGAATTCAAATTTCACAATAATTTTTCCCGCCAAAAACTTCACGCACGGCCCGCGAAACCTTTGGCGGGAGAATTGTTATTTCGGGAGCGAAAGAAACAAGGAGGCTGGAAACTTCAGAAGGACGTCTCCTGCTTCTGCAGGAGTTTAATAAACTCAAGTTTAGCTCCTACGTATGACTATGTTTCGAGTAACCATGTGGAAGTTTTGGCGCTAGAGTTACTCGAGAGCCAGAGAATAAGGGGTTGAAATTTAGAACAGTGTTCGCCGTCCACGATTTCAAATTCAGCTTTCACATACGTTTGTGTCCCATATACTGGTACGTGGAATCTTTAATGAGAAATTTCGCAGCTTAGGAACCAAACAGCATACCGACTATTATTGCACAGATTAAAGTGTAAAACAGTGAAAATCCTTAGCAAGCAAACGTCCACTGGACGAAACTGTGCGAAACATATGACTGCTCCAGCTACCCTGGTACGCACCGTTATTTATTTTGTTTAGGCATTCGTGGTAATTGGTGACGAAAACGGACACATTGGTTTGGGCGTGAAATGCTCAAAGGAGGTGCCAACAGCAATTCGTGGTGCGATTGTTGCTGCAAAATTGTCAACAATTCCGGTGCGAAGAGGATACTGGGGTAACAAAATCGGCAAACCGCACACAGTTCCTTGCAAGGTTTAAGTTAAATTTGCGCTGTCACTTGTGTAAAACTGGTCAAGTGAGGAGTCATTTTGAAGGTCACGGGGAAGTGCGGATCGGTGACTGTTCGTCTTATTCCTGCACCAAGAGGCACCGGGATTGTGTCGGCACCTGTGCCGAAGAAACTGCTCCAAATGGCTGGTGTGGAAGACTGCTACACTTCTGCCTGTGGACGAACGTCTAAACTGGGCAATTTTGCAAAAGTGAGTTCTTA